GAGAGAGAGAGAGAGAGAGAACCTTAAAGGTAGGATCCTTAACAGAAGAATCCCAAAAAAGGTTTAAGCCGGAACACGCTGAACCACCACAGTGGAGAGTCTTCAAGTCCTGTCTCATAAGGCCAGAATAAGAGCCCTGATATGGACCCGAAACAGTTGGATTCGTAGCAAGGGCATGATTCCCACTCTTAAAGAAACTCCCCAAACCCCCCAGACCCTAATATTCTCCATACCCGGAAATGCAAACCCCCGAAATCTGACAAATCCTGAATCCTTAGCACTGAACCCTTACATGCACTCAAACCCCAATCCCTTCAAACGCGCTGAGCACGAGGTCGTCGCCTGGGGTCCTCCAGAGTACGGCGGCGACTGCAGCACAGTTCAGGAGAAGCTGAAGGATGTACAGGACAGCTTGGTTTGGGCACAATTCCGTAAAGTAGGGCTTACATTCAAGGTTTTGGTTGTTGTATGTAATTAGGGCTCACTATTGAAACCTATGTAAGGCAAAACCCCAGATCTGTTTTTCAGTGAAGAGTGCTGGACGATACAGGCGCTTCACGTGTCTTACGATTTACGTTCGGCTTCTGCACTACAGGGTAAGCTAGGCTCTGTCTAGGGCTTGGGGCTTGAAATTCGGGTTGAGGCTTTAGCTATTTAGGGTGGGCCCGTAGAGCTTATGGTCTTAAGACTGGAACTGTGCAGAAGACATCCGCTTCCAAGTTCAAGTCCATGCAACCATTTCGAATCTTTCAGCATCCTGATTCAGGGTCATTTGGGCCGTACCTGTTGCAGAACCGCAGCACACAAGGCCAAACAATAATCGACAGTAGCACTTTTCTCCCCAAAACCACCAAACTCCAAGCCCTAAGCCGCGAAGCTTCGAACTTAGAAGGCCTTCTAAAACCGTCAAGTTGTGAAGCCCGAACTCTGTTTAGGGCCGAGGGCACCGCCAGAACAAGTTGAAGCCGCTGTGAAACCTGTAGTACCTGACAAAAACCCATGAAACAAAACTAAACTCTCTATAGAGGCCGAATATAATATGACATAACCCAATATAGTATGATATAATATGGCATGTTACATTATCATGTAATATAATATAATACAATGTAATGTAATGTAATATAACATAACATAACATACCATGACATAATATAATTAAGTGAGTTCAATAGACTATACTATAATATAATATATTGAATTTAATATGATATAATATAATATAGTATTATGATTATCATTCTTACTCTTGTGATATATATATATATTTACTTATTTATTTATTTATTGTTATTATTATTATTAGTAGTATTGGTATTAACAGAGTAGAATATAATGGAATATAAGGCAATATACTGTAGTGCAATATAACTTAAGAATGGTGTAATATAGTATAGTGAAGTATGGAATAATGTAGTATAGTATAATATCGTAGAACATAATATACAATATAACACAATATGATTTTAAACACATCCAATGTAACATAATACGATAAAAATACAGTGTGTGTATATATATATGTATATATATATATATGTGTGTAAAATGTATGTATGTATGTATGTATGCATGTATGTATGTATGTTTAATTTAATATAATTTTAAGAGCATCAACAAAAGGACATCCGGGCCTCTGAGGGGGCGTTCACAGCCCTGAGAGGGGATGGCACCGCGGTGGCCTGGGGATCACCCCATTGCGGCTTCTGGGCTTAATGCTGTTCGGGAATGGGGGGTTAGAGTTTAGGGCTTACGGAAATTCCGGGTTTGGGGGTTGATTGAAGTAAGGGTTCAGGGGCTTTAGGTGGATGGAGTTTCTGGATTTTGGGAGGTAGGCTGGAAGTCTTGGTTTTGTGTCTAGGAACTTTTTTGGCATTGCAGGGTTGAGCGTTTTGGTCTGTTGGGAAGTTAAGGGTTACGATCTTAGAGATTTTGGGGTTGTTCGGGTAGTCCGAGGGACCCTTATGGTTTAGGGTCATACCCGGCTAAAACCTACTGGATTATAGGTTTGGCGGCCCTGCTGCTTCATGCAGGCTAGGCATAACTGACGAGCCAACTTCTCGGTGTGTTAAAGCCTAAAGCGATTGGGCCCTTATCCACCGCAGGGTACTGGACGGTTATACTTCATAGAGCTGCCTTAAGCTGCCTTGGAGATCCAATGCCTGCGATTGACGAATGACGCGACCCTAAGCCCTCCAACCATCGACCCTGTCCGCTAGACCCGCTAGACGACCAAGGTGGCGACTGCAGCGCCGTGGAAGGGAGCCTGACCGATGTGCAGGACTTGCGGATTGGGGTTTTACGTAAGACGTAAGGTCCTTAGGAAATTTGGTGAGTTTATTTAGGATGTGTGTTGCGGGGATGTCAAAAAAGATACGGTGCTGTTGTGGTTCCCAAGACAACACATCGTGCTGGCACTAAAGATCATACGAGTACATCTGACTTAGAGAATTGCTCATCTACTCGTTCAGTCAGTGGCTCAATGGTTCATTCGGGATGAAGCTTTCACTCTGATCTAAATCTTGTTGAGAGCATCAAAATGCAAGGGGACCTCCCCTATCAAACACCTGCTTGAATGATGCAGTAGTTTAGGGCTTTGGGGTTTAGGGTTTATTGGGGTTTGGTGCGGCGGCAGAGGCCATAATGACGGGACTTGGAAAGGAAAAATTGCAGATGTGAGATGGCTGGTGAGGAAGAGAGCACAGCGACTCCAAACCACACAGCCCATACGGGTTTAGGGCTTGTAGGGCTTATAGGGTTTAGGGAAGCGTCTTTTGGAGAAGATCGACTGACTCTAGGATGGCCCCTTAAACCCCACAAGCCTGAGCCGTCAACCTGAAGCCGCACAGAGGCTCCTACAAAAGTCCGGAAGCCATTCTCATCTTAACTCTCTGTTTCAGCCCCGAAGAAAAGTTATAAAGAGAACGCCATGACAAAGGCATGGGAAATGCACGTTCATCAAGTCCTTTGCATGGAACGCCCGCTATGACCAAAGGCCCTAAATCCTAGACCCTGGAACTGCCTGGAACCACTTCGCTGTCATCCCTATGAAACTCGTTCGAACAAGCCTTTCAACAAGCTCTAGCACCCTTACGCAACTCCCTGTGTATAAGAAATCGAAACGAAAGCTCGAAGGAAATTTCAGCTTCCCAGCTCGCCTTTGCGGCACTGAAGAGCGACGGCTCGGCTACTCGCCAGCAGTGGTTTTGGACTAAGGGGGGGCTGGCATTTAATGTAGGGGCCTTAAGAATTAGAAGAGGGTTTTGGGGATATTATACTATAATTGTAATGAGGAACCCCCAAAACCCTATTCCTAATTATTAAGGCCCCTACATTATGGCCGGATGCCGGAGGGAAGAGCCGGCGAGGGTGGGAGTTTTGGGGGTTGACCAGCTTGTCAGGATTTCTTGGAGTTTGGGCTCTTCGAGGTTTATACTATGGGATTTTGCCGTTAAGGAGTGAAGGGCTTCTGAGGCCTCGGGATTCGGATTTCGGGGCTTCGGGCCAGCGACAACGACGGCCAGGTGGTGGCCTGGGGACCTTGGCGCCCTGGCTGCATCGAGTGAAAGGATGGGTTTTGAATTTTTGGGCTTTTCGGGTCTTTGGGTATGCAGCTGAAGGTTTTGGAATGTGAGGGTTAGGGTGCAAGGCTTACAGTTCGGAAAGCGGTGTAAGGTATCTGTTGCAGCACGTCTGGCACTGCTTTTGTTGATCGCTGCTGTAGTGTTGAGGCGCTAGGGGTTCAGGGTCTGTGGTCCGCAAAAGCCTAAGCCCATAGTTCTAAGCCCTTACAGCCCAAGGCGGCGAAGCACGGGTGGAAGAATCAAACACATCGTCCTGTCCCATAGCCCAAGTCCCGAAGTCTCGACCCTTACAGGTGCCTTCCTATGGACACGGTTTAGGGCTTAGGGTTTAGGTAGTACAGAGTTTCCCGGAACAACCCCACAGAGCTCTCGGGACAGACCCCCAGGGTTCACGAGGAAGGCCGCAGACAGCCAAGCTTCAGGGCCATGCGGTTGATATAGGCTTAGATTAGGTTGTTGTATAAGGTTTCTGTGGGGGTTTGACTTTCGTAACTACTGTCAAGAGCGTAGTTTCAGGGCCTGCAAAACTCCTGCTCGAGCCGCCTTGTACTCCTTCTCCTCATGGTCGAGAGCTTGGTCATGACATGTCAGGCTGAACCCGAGAGTTCATCGGTGACGATGCCCAGGTTTGGCAGTTGGAGGTTAGGGTTTGAAGTTGAAGGCTAGGGTTTAAAGTTTAAGGTCTACGGTTATGAAGACGCCCGTGAAGGCATTAGTGTCAAGATGTGGTTCTGATTAAAATCTCTGCCACTAAGCCTCGGTCGACGCAAACCCGTGGGGAGGCTAAAACTCCACTCCCCTACAATGCGTCTGAAGGCGTACACTGCATTGGGCAGCCTGACCTCAACCTGAATCCCGAATCCATCTGAGGGGTACACGAAGCCGTGTTCAGACCCAAACCCTAAACCTTGCACCTCGGCGTTTCTATAAGGGTCCTATGATGGGTCGGGGTGCTTTTTAAAGGCTTCCGATTAGGCATTCCCCAGTGTCCAAGGTATGCTGGAGGTGACTGCAGTCGCGTAGCGGATGAGCTTACGGAAGTTCGTGGTGTGCAAGCCACTGCATCTTCGAAGCAACGAGTGCACGGATCCTGAAAGCATATCGAAGCCGTATCTTCAAGCCGAACAGCCACCCTAACCCAAACCCTGAAGGGCATCCGAGAGAGTTTGTGCCTTTGTCTTCACTGCCCCGACACGAAGGCCTTACAGCACCGAAACCTTACACCCTTCATCTTAGGCACTAGACACCTGAGCCCTGGCCCCTCAAACACCTGGGCATTTTTCAAGAGAAAACGGAGGAGATTGCAGAGCATGGCTTGCGGCTCGCATGCGATGCCACACATGACATCTCCAACTCCAAAGTCAAACTTTTTGCCCTCGGCTGGTTGGCACAGCATGTCGAGAGCCACATGATCCGGAACACATTTGTGCCCCTGGCCTTTGCCGTGGCTGTGTCAGAAAGCAGCCTTGCAACTAAATTTCTGTTAAGCAGCGCAGAAAGTTTTCTGAAAGATAAATGTGGGGACACATTGAAGAATGCCAAAGCTGATCATTTGGATGCGGGAACAGGCTTGGTGAAAGGTTTCCAAAAAAGTACTTTGGGTCAGCCTTGCCCTTGGTCCAGAGCTTGGAGCATGTCAAAAGGAACATCAACAAGGAGGGCGTGAAAAATTGAAGCACACGAAGTGGTGGGTGACAGTGCAACGTCGGGTGGCTTTCAGTGCTTTCCTGCGCAATGATTGTGGTTTTTGATCGAAACATACATGGCACGAGATATATTGCTCAATTCCGGAGGGCAGCGGACTTCATCTTGGAGAGCAGGCCCGTTGGAGCCAAGTTACGGGCCATATGCTCTCAATGCAGTGGTCTCGCTCTTCAAGGTCCTGGATGCTTTTCTGCCCGACATCCCTCCCCCTCACGGAAGTGATCTGGATGTTTGAAAATGAAGGAAAGTGGTCTGACGTGAGTTTGGCCATTTCCAGCATGTGTAGTGATGCCATATTAGGCAACGTGCCCAGCGTTCTCAGCGAACATGATCGTGGACTGGTGACGGAGAAAGAGCAGATGCAGGCCTTGTTAAAGCCGCCAAAGGTTCTTTCTATTCTTGCTCTGCCAGCCTCTTTTGTCAAACTTGATTGCTTTGCCGCTGGAGCATGACGATTTGGAAGAAGAGGCCAGGCTGCAGTGCGCTCGGTTGGTATTCTGTTGGTAAGTGCTGTCCAGTCGCCCAGATGCGCAAGTGTCCTGGGCGCAAAGCAGTTCCCTTCTGTCCGCAACCCTACCGGTTTTGGTGAATCTGTCCTTCAACTGAAATCAACTGTAACCTATAGCAGGGACCCGAGTGCAGCGCGTGTTGGCCATCTTTGTAACTGTGTCAAGGAATCTACACTCGGCGACCAACGTGACCGGAACAGGTCTTGGCAGTCATGAGTGCCTTGTAAGCGAAAGCTGGGGCCTGTCATCTCGCACATCTGTTCGAAGACTTTGTCTTTGAATAATAATGAGGTCTGGTGAAGACCTACCGGTTGTGAGATGTCGGTTGTGGGGCTTGTCAAATAGGCAGCGTTGATTCCGCAGCGAGGCTCGTGTATGGCTCCTGAGTCTCTTGTGCGTGAGCGGCTCGTAAGTGGCACGTACGTGGCTCATGTCAGGAAGGTCCCAGTGTTTGTGGCAGCCTCCTCGTCCGCTTGTTGACTTGCGCCCGGCAGCCCCAACGCAACCAACAGCCAGAAGAATCTCAGGACCCGATCAACAGCTGACGGCTGGCAACAGGTCAAGACCTCATGGAATCAAACTTGTTCCCGAAATGGCTGCACACATTTCGGTGCAGGAGGGCAGCCTGATGCGCTGCATGAAGCGGTGCCTGTCACGCTGTACGCGCTGCCGCTTGGACGAACGCACGTAGCAACAGTAACCAATGACAAACCCCTCGCATGCAATGTGGCCGCGAAGCGAGTCCGCGGGTCGGTGCTCAGGTCCTCGACCCATGGGCCATGGACAGCGAGGCATCGGGCTCAAAAGGGGCTTGACTTCTTGCACAGTTCTCCTTGCACAAATCGTGTAGGTGCGCACATTCCTGCGCAAGCGACGCGCGGCCAGGACGTAGCAGTGGCCAGCGGCAGTTACACGCAAACCGTCTAGACTTCATGTCCCCATCCTTCGAGTAGATACATGTCCTCGCTTGCATTTCTTCCGCTCTTCAGCCCGCGCCATTAACGTCATAGGTTTCTTTGCTTCTTGCTAGACGCGGCGCTTGTTTGCCGTGAAAGTGAACCATGTAGCACTCGTATCTTGTTCGCTTGCGGAGCGGAACTGACCCGCCATGCGTGCCTGATGATGTTATGTCTGTTCTGCAATCACCTTTGTCTGGGTTGCTGGAATATGCCCCTTACCTCCCGACGCACATGGACGAGTTGGAGGAGATGGAGGACTTCAGATGTTGCCGCTCATGTCCACCAAGGCCACATGACCAGGGTTGAACCACTGATAAAATCAAGCGAATTCCCTGAGCAAAACCATGATGACGCGCAGCTTGCAGATGCTATTGCAGTTTAGAAAGCATGTGTCCTGGCCCCATACCCCAAACCCTGGCGTGGGCCTTACTTCGGGTCCGACCTTCGGAACAGCTTAGGAACGGGCGCCAGAGTGAAACTTCCAGAACCACTGGAAGTGAGGGAAGGATGCGCGAGCATAGGTCTAACGTACAATCGTGATCGATTCGTTTAGGAGAAGAACCTGTCAAAGTAACTCGTGTCTAGTTGCCCCCTGCAGCCTGCCGCGTTCGTGACCCTGCTCATTGAGCACTGGAGGTCGCATGAGTTTGCGCCCTCGTGTGGTTAGCGTTAATCTCGGTCGTGAACTAACAAGGTCCCAATGTGTTGGCTTGCGCTTAGGTACATCCGGGTTGGTAAAGTACATACCCATGACGTTCCGTGAGCATGTCTTGCATCTTGTTGAAATCGTGGTCTTAGCGTTACTTGTTCGGATTTTTCAGTCATGTTTGTGCGCAGAGTGTCAGTACCAAAGGTCTAGGGTGGTTGACCTCATGCATGTCGTAGCCACAGGCGAATTGCTGACGCATGGGCATTCGTTTCATCCGCGACCACCCGCGCTACAATGATGACAACATGCCTGGATCAGAACGGTAATGCTAATAGCATCAACAGTCCACTTCCAGCGCTGAATGAGTCAATTGAACCATCTGAATTGTCCTGTAAGAATGGGCGGGAAAGGACTGGGGAAGGGCACGAGACTTCTGGAGCGGGCAAGGAGATCCGGTCTTCTGGATAGGCGAGACATAATATAAGGGAGGCTTTTTGCAAGAGAGACCGAGTGCGCTATAAGCACCAAATTACAGGACCGAAGAAGCCCACATGTCAAAGTCGTTCTTGACGAGGACATTGCCAAAACGAGAACAGTAGACTGACATATGCACCCTGCTTAGCAAGAGTGCGCTCACACGTCAAAGCAAGCGAGACCGATTCCCAGTGATCTGCCAGAAAGAACTTCAACATGTGCATGCGCAAACCCAATCTTGACAGCGCCAATCTCAATCTCTCCCAAGTCGTCCCAAATGGTCGTTGACAAGAGGCAGACGGTGGGTGGGCACCTTCGAGGCCAAAATCTAGCAAGCATTTACAAGGAAAACGCCCCTTGCGTCCGGACGTGAACATACTTGGGTGTGTTCAGACTTCTATTGTCTGCCAGCTGGAAGTCCCTAGATGAGATGATTCGGCATGCACAGGAGGCGGAACTTTTGAGGATCATGTCTCCAGGCCACGTCGATGAGCTGCTGGCGGGTACGCTTCCTGCTCGTGCGCCCTACGTCCGATGTGCAGTTGACTTGCTGAGGCCTGGACAGGCGCTAGAAGCCGCTGGAAGCCGCATGCTGTGAACTGCATTGTGTGCGTAGTATAAGTGGAGCTGGTTGTTGCGGAGTAAAAGTGATGAAGCAAGATCTCAGGATATATGCGTTGGAATCAATATGCGGCGCAAGCTGACGTCAAAGTCAAAGGCACCAGCCACAGATGCAAACTGGTCTGGAATAACATTCCACATTGCAAGCTCAACATCACCCCCACCCTACGCTGCAAGAGCATTCGTTCCACCCACGCCGCCCACGTATACGGGCGCATCACCACTCCTAGTACACACCTCGCTTGTACCCATAGTGTGCCAAGGCAGGGTGGAAAGTTTGCACAACTAGCGTGCAAAGACGGTAGAAGCTAGTGACGCGCGAGACGTCAGGTGTGGTCCCTGAACCCTGAACCCTTAACCCAAAAGTCTGGTCTACTTGTTAAGGCCCCTGTCTAGATATGGAAGCCTCCACTCCGGCCTTGAGCTCTCAACCTGAGCCCTTCCTGTGTCCTGGGGGGTCAGGATTCAGGGGTTTAGGGTTGAGGGTTAGGGGTTTAGAGTTTAGGGTTAGGGTTTAGAGTTTAGGGTTTAGGATTAGGGGTTTAGGGTTCTGGGCGAACCCATAAAGTCTCCCCTAAATCCGAACTATCCCATGCCCTGCACCCCTCAAAGACAAAAATCTTTACACGCCCACAAAATCAAAAATGTACACAACCTCAACAACTTCAGACATATACCTTAGATAAACATGGTTGCAAAGGAGCTCAAAAGCAAAGACACACACACACACAAAACAAAAAAGGAGACGGCTTTTGCAGCCCTCCGGGCCGACGGAAGCGTCGTGACTTGGGGATGTGCAGGCGGCGGGGGTGACAGCCGCCTGGAGGAAGGGTTTACGGGGCTTAGGGTTGAGGGTTTAGGTTTCAATGGGTTCAGGGTTCGGGGTTGCGCATGTCTTTGAGGTTCTTCAAGGGGTCTTTCGGGATTTTAGGGTGCAGGGGGGTCAGGGCTTAGCGTTGCAGGGTTGAGGGTAAGGCGTCCCATAGCAGGCAGTCCCACAGGCGGTCCTTATTGAAAGGATTTTGCATGATCTTGCTAGTTAGTAAACATATTGAACTGTAGGGTGCCACACTTTCCGACTCTGGCATTTTGGGATGCACGGGCCGTCGACTATTCAAGCAGACTTGTCAATGGTTTTCTGGCCTCAACCGTAGACTCCCTCGACCTGTGGCTAAGCCGTAAACCGCTATTACTGCGTAAAGCCATGGAAGGAGGTTTACGGTAGGGTTCAGGGAAGAAGGATCAATTCGAGGCTTGCGGGGGTCGAGGTTTGGGGCTGCCGCTTGCAGTGAGCTTGACTGTCCGCTGCGAATCCCTTCCTAGGGATTAGGGGTTGGGGGGGTTAGAGTTTTGTCTTGTTTGCTTGGGGCTCCGGGTTACATGCAAAAAAATCACAAACAGGGATGTCCTCCCCCGCAGAGTCACGTGATAAAGCCTAAACCCTTCCTTCTCCTTGAACCCCCCGAGCCGAAGATCTCAATCCCCGAACCCTGAGCCCCAGGGACCCCACCCCCCAAAGCTACTCAGATTATTGGCTATGCCACCCCGGTCTTGGCGCAAACGCTTTAGGAGTATGAAGGGGGGAATCTTTGAGCTTTCGGGTTGCATGGAGATAGGGCTTCGAGTTGCTATAGGTTTTGTTCGAAGCCTTGAAATGAAGAGTGTGACTATAGACCACGATGTTTTAGGGAGCTCAAGGAAGTAGTCATGAACGTGTGTAGGATTTTGGGCAGGCTTCAGATCTGAGGTGAAGGCTGTTGATCACTCTCTTTCGCCATGCTCCGTCCATTCCAGGCATGCAAAAGGGCGTAAACACTCCTATGAGCCTCCCACCACATTGAAACCGCCTCTCAACCCAACCGTAAACCTAAAGCCCTCAGCTCTACACGCTGGACCCTCCCGAGGCAACACCGTCCGCGAGCAGCTGAAAGATGTGCGAGAGATTCAATCATCGGAGGCTGCCTTTGTCGCTCGGAAGCTTGGGACTTGCATCCTGCAGGGGGTTTCGGGTTGGGGTTTAGGGTTTAGAGCTTAGGGTTGAGGTTTAGGGTTTAGGGTTGGGGTTTAATGTTTAGGGTTAGGGGTTAAGGTTTAGGGTTTGCCTTTGGAGTCGATGGAATGCTCTTTGACTTTCGTATGCATCTTCTAGGCTTCGCGTTTGCGGAGTCCGGATCGTTCGGGTTAGAGCCAAAGCCTGGCCTCACGAGACCGCAGAGCCGAAGCCTGGCCTCTAATTCTAGTAGATGAATTTTCGGAACACAGGGACACCTATGGTTGATGGTAGAAATCCTGCATTACCCATAATAAGGAACATACCAGAATTCCCATAGTTTAGGGTCCTTAAGGCAATGCAGGATTTATATCATCAACTGTAGTAGGATCGTTCCTAGAAGGACCCCGACTTTTCGGATCCCGTGATTTGCGTACCCCTCGGCTGTACCACGTGAAAGCAGCAAAGGCTGCCATCCTGGCCGATGGAAGCGTCGCACTCGGGCTGCAAGACGCGAAAACCTTCAAAACCTGCTTAGATCCTAGGCACTGAAGATCTGCTTTTCCGACAGATCATCGCAGTTTCATAGGAACCTTACAGATGTAGGTAGTCTAACCTACAAGTACAGCTATCTCGGAGGTAAATTCTGGCAACTAGCCAGGACGCTAAACCCCCAAGCTAAAGCATAAAGCGCATCATTCCAAAAGCGATCGGGATTGTATAAACCCTAAACCCTAAAGAGTAAGATTTCGCCGCAAAGTGTCGTGGGCCAAACTGTTTGAAGATTGGAGATCATAGGGATGATTTAGGGGCTGTGCATAGACTTGCAGTGGGGCTGCTACTTGGCGAGGGCATGAAAGCAGTTTGCCCGAAAATGATCTTGGTAGTTTGCAGACCACATAGAATCGTAAACTCCAATCGCTGCTTATAAAAAAGCATGTAATAGCTATGGCGATGTGTGTCGAAGACGTGGAAGTATGTAGATTCAGAAAGGGGTACAACGTTCGCTTGGGTTCGCAAGCACCGATTGATCTGCACAATGTTGCTGCGGATATGCGTTTTTTGCCTACTGGGCCGACGGATGGTGCTAGAACATCTCGTCATGAAATACGGCCCATGTACTGGAATCAGCACTTGGCGATGCTGGTTATTATTGTTGTTGTTGTTGTTCTCCTTGTGTTTGTTCGTTTGGGTTGTGGTTGTGCTTGTCGTGCCGGTTAGCCTTTTCGTTTGATTTATTTGCTTGGTAGCTTGCTCTCTTGCTCGGCCTCCTCCTTCGTGTACCGATCTTTGCCCTTGTTTGCTGGCTAAGTTGGCTGCTGCTGCTGCTGCTGCTGCTGCCGTTGCCACAACTACTTGCACGATGCTGGTTGCTTTCTCATTGATTTTGCCGTCACGATCGGGCTAAATGTTGAAGTAGGTCCCCACTTGACAGTATAAGTAGTATAGCCATGCCGGAACTATAAAGGGATACTGTTACTGTTTGCTCAGGCCTCTATGTCATGGTTTAGAAGCCGTAAGCTCTCCAGGTGACCTGGGGGGCCGCCAGTTGCGGCGGCGACAGCTCAAGAGTGAAGAGCCAGCTTTGCAATGTGCAGGAAATTGTCTGAAGAAGCGAAACCACTCCGTACTTGCTGTGCTATACTCTGTGCTATGCTTTGATGGACTCTACTTAGCTATCCGCTACTGTACTATACAATATACTATGTACTATATACTATACTTAACTACACAATAATTGGAGGATACAGATCATGCTATATACTGTTTGGTAAACGATTTTCCTGTGTTGCATTGTCGCAAATATGTGATACAGATTTCAGGTATGTACTTGATGCTATATGATAGTATGTGAATGTGAATGTTGTTTGATACGTATCTTATATACTGAATACTATCTGCAGTACACTGTATGCTATATCTACGATGCTAAACTTTATCATACTGTGCGACAGTCTAATCTTACAGTAGAAGGGAGTGTCGGGGTTTGATGTCATCCATCGAAGACGTAGTCTCGAGCCGTAGGGTAAACCCTCAGCAGGAAGTCTTAGACACGAAAAGACTGTGCGGAAAAGCTGCCAACCATGGAGCATAAATCGGTCTTGGGTCTCAGCCGCCACGTTTCAGGTTTGGGCGGCAGTGTACCACTGCTTGGGGTTTGGGTTCTGGCTTCAGGGCTTTGCAGGTAACTTGTTGCATAACCGATTGGGGCCTAACCTCTCCACTGGCTGTCAAAAAGCCTGCCAACGTCTCAGACACCTGCGCCCCCGCTGAAATTCGGAAAGCTCCTTCCCCGCATGGCCTGCCGCCAGTTTGGACCAGTGCAAGCAAGCTGCTGTCTCGTTTATCAAAGAAAACAGCGAACAGCTGAAGTCGTGCTCGACGTGGTGCTCTGGATCGCTTCGTGTTTTGTCTCGGGTTCCAGAGGTTTACATTCTAAATTTCAAGATTGTTGCATACTAATCCTCTATCCTCCAGGTTTCAGGCGTCTGAAGTCGAAGCTACAGGCTGTAGATTGAGATTGCTTATGCTGCGCGTGTGGCTTTGCTGCTGGTATAGGTCTGATGTCAAAGCCACTGAGCTAACAAGCAGCAGTGGAAGTGGCAGCCATCATTGCCGTAATTGTACAGGTGCGAAAACTTGCTAATCCTAGAATCACACGAGCAGCAGTAGCAGTAGCAGTAGCAGTAGCAGTAGCAGTAGCAGTAGCAGTAGCAGTAGCAGTAGTAGTAGTAGTAGAAGAAGCAGTAGAAGTAGAAGTAGAAGTAGAAGTAGAAGTAGAAGTAGAAGTAGAAGTAGAAGTAGAAGTAGAAGTATTAGTAGTAGTAG